TAACTCCCTCAAATGTACTATTTTGGTGGTGGTAGGTGGAGGATAAATGTTGCTTTTGCAGTAGGATTTAAGGTAGTTAAGAGCATATGGTGGCTAAGTTTCTGCTAGCACACCGTTTGATCCTTAGAGAAGAGAAAGCTGTATGAAGTCACAGCACGTGTGAATGTAACTTTGCTTCTGTTTCCTTACCCAACAACTTTTGCTGGAAGGAAGACTGCTTTAAGGCGGGATGGGAAAACAGACTGAGGGTATCAGGTCTCTGCCAGGCTAAAGGTATCCATGTCAAGGTTTGAACAACAACCACAAACACCAAAACCAAACAATATTTTAAAAAAAAAAAGGGAAGAAAAAGAAAAAAGAAAAGAACTAAAAAAAAAAAAGAGAAAATAAAAAAAAGAACCCCCCAAAAACCCTTCAGCTGGAGGGTGGGGGTGAAGGGAGAGATAGGACGCTACCTGGGCTGGGGCAGGAGAAGCACCGGGCACAGCAAGGGAGGAGGTGAGCGCCCGGAGCGGGGAGGGAGAGAAGGGAGCAGGAACCAGGGGCTTGGGGCAGCGGTGGGTGGAGGCGTGTGGTTTCTGCGGAGGTGGAAGGAGAGGGGTTGGGACAGGGAAGCGTTTTGTGAGTTGTGACCCACTCTGTAAAGGGCACGATGGGAATTCTGAGCCCAGCAAGAACAGGAGGAAAAAACTCTGGAAAAACCAGGGAAGCCGAGGAAATTGTGTGACACAGGGGAAAGCCAAAGAGGAGGAGCTGGCGGCGCGGTTACCACGAGCAATTCTGATGCCACCATTCATCGGCAGAGGCACATCGTCCAATTTCCTTATTGCCTTCAGTAAAGAACGTTGTCCTGCCAGCCCTGCATGCATTGTCCTAACTTTCTGGCTTGCCACCTTGCATCTGCTGTCCCCACAAATCGCTGTGCTCACAGCTTTGCTCCATCTGTATGTCCATTTTGATTGCATTTGCCAAGTCAGCACATCAGTACATCTTACTAAGGAGTTCCTCCGAGCCTGCTGCAGGACTTCAAGGCAGTGAGCCCTGGGCAGAGAAGGGATGTGGCAAAACGCTATAAAAACCCCTTCACTATCGATTGCAAGTCATAGCGCTTTTTTAATAATGCTAATGACAAGCGGTGCTATAATATTAAACTGTTCTTCTCAAGAGTTCAAAGCATCCCGGTCCCACCAGCACGAAGGAGGTAAATGCTGCAGCAGCAGTATTGTATGTATGTAAGTGAATGCGGAGCAGGCGTACCCTGAGGCAGAGAAGCAAAGGGCTTGTGGTGGCAGGGTGAATGGGTTACAGCTCCAGGAGTAAAACGGAGATATTCCGTCTCCTGGCTTGGGGAAAGTCCATGCAAAAGGTGAAAGATAATACCTGAATTGTTGTCTTAGAGATATACATGTAAAGTACCTGTGTCCAACATAGGGGTCTGTCTGCTAAAGGCTTTTGCTGGAGACTTTGGGGTTTTTTTGCCTTGCAAAGGTGGTCTGTCACACTTGGTGAAGTACAGGGCTCGCTTGTTCTTCCCTAGCAATCCAACATTTTTAAAGAGGAAAGAAGCTGTGAAACCTGTCTTGTCCTATTTATTTGTTTGTGATTAGTTCAAATGTTTGTTTATACATTGTGCCAGCTGTTACGGAAGTGAGTTAAAATATTAGTAGTACTTCTCAGAATAATTGGCAAATAGAAGTGGTTGATACAGAGCAAGATTATTATCTACTTGATAAACCGTCTTACGGCATTAATTTTTATGGTATCTAAGCTCACCAAATCAGTAGACTTGTCATCAACGTTCTGTGAAGGAGAAATTTCTGTATTTAAGAAGAGGTGGGAGGAAGGTACTGTGAGCTGCCCGAGACTGCATCGGGTGCAGAGGACCACCTTCTTTCCCCCTTTTTATACTGAGGTGCTGTTGCAGGGGTGACTTCCACCCAAGACTTTTCAGTGAAATACTTGTATCTAGTTTCCCTAGCCCCTCAGAAAGGAGGGTGTTTATGGCTTCCTAACTTTCGGGAGAGGGTGAGAGTAGAGAGGGGATGAGGAGTCTCTTTTATGACGTTTTTGGGTTTTTTTTAATCTTAAAAAGAATTTGGCAACTCTGTAAATCTCCCTTAGGAAAGCAGCCGGTCTCCTGGGGCATTGCTCCCACTGCTTCAGTCCTCTTTTAAAACAGTCTTGACAACCAAAAAGCAAAGAACATCAAGGGCTTTCCAAGCCTGTTGGGATTTATGGATTCATTTTCAACTTGGCAGCAAGAGCTGGACTCGAATGCATCTCTGCAGAGATACCAAATAGCAACAGCCTCCTCCCCTGCCTGTGCAAAGGTCGCCTGCTCCTTTCTGTTAGCAGCCCCTTCCCTTCCCTCAGGAGCTGACAGAGCCAAAAAGAAATCCTCCTGCCTTGGAAGGTTCAAAAGGCTCTGCAGCAGAGAGTCCTGAGTCCCAGATGCTTGTGCTGGGGTGAAATAGCGAAACAGCCTGTGCTTTCCGCGGGCCCTTGGCCAGCGGCAGAGTTCCTCTCAAGCAGGCAGTGACACAGCACGGCTGCTGAGCTGCCCTTCGAACAAAAGCTCCATGAGAAAAACCCCTCTGGTGAGCAGAAGAGCCAAGAGAAATCAAGTTCGGGTTAGCGCCAAAGTCTGATTTATTTTCTCAGACACTTTCTCAGCAGATTGCACATTCTATGTATTTTACTGAAAGATTCCTCAGTAAATAAGACAGAAATGAAAGAAAAATAAGTTATTAAACATCAAGAGAGGGTTTTGAACAACAACCAAATTCCTGTGCATCCTCAAAGGAAAAGGAGAAAAGCTTATGCACGTCTCCAGCAAGCTGAGGTCACTATATAAAGGTAGCGTGCCAATTTTCCTACAGATTTTAAATGCTTTCTGTATTGAAATATGTAATGTACATTCCAGACATAAAAATAAATGTTGTCATGTACGGTTATATCCTGCTCCGTTGGTGTATGTGTATTTTCTGAATGCTGTCATTTGGGACTTGCTCTGTTTCAGTATGTGGAAGGTATTTTTCCACTCCACATCGCACTTTCTCTGCGAGTATATATATGTGTACAGCAGTATATATGTGTACAGCAATATATATGTGTACAGCAGTAGTCGGGAATGCTCTGGTGCAGGTTGTTAGGCAAGCCAATGAGCCTGGCCTTGCATAGGCACAATATAGGCATTTAATCGATAAAATGTCTCAGGTCGCTTCAATGTGTTGTGTGGTGCGTGGCATATTTCAGCGCAACTAACGATGGCTGTAGAACTCAAGTACTTTTCAAAGCATTTCACAGGGCATTTATTCCATTATGTTTTAACGTCATTTCTAATCTTTGTGTAATATGCAGTGGATAAATTTATAAGCCATTCTGGTGAGCCAGTTATAATATACATATTAAGACTATAATTAGTGGAAAATTCATGACATATGGAAAAAACTGTCATGTTCTGTGAAGATAAATCATACCTCCAAACTCCAAATTAGAATTTCTTGGAGCCAACCACATGGCCGTAAGAGATTGAACTGATACAGTATACTTATTTCCTGAAGATTCTTTAAACACCACTACAAGAAAAAGCTGCTGACCGTTTCCAGAGAAAAACCAAGTCAAACTATTATCACTTTCAAAAATGCATCATGTGATAATGTCTCTAAAGGTAAATTACTACTCCTTGGTCACCTTTTCGAAAGCAAGAGAATTCAGAGGTGTCAGTGAGGGCCATGTTTAATTCCTGCCTGGGACCAACATCACTGATTGCACTTCAGAGAAGAACCCAACAGAGATACTGAGGATCAGAGAGTTTGTAAATCCCACCTGAATGTTGGACTTGATGAAGCATTGTGCTTAAGAGAAACGGAAAAAAAATAGAAGAATTAAAAAAAAACAAACAAAAAAGGCGACATTATTCAGAGCATAAAGTGTTCTAGATGACCATTATATAATGTGTTAAAGCATTTTTAAAACATGTCATATTGACATACTTAAACTTTGGTATAATGCCAAAAACTTTCAGGATCAACCTTAATATTTGAATTATAACCTGAAGAATTCAGTGGAATAATGCAGAGATTAGCAGCTTTACAGCTTACTGAAAATCAAACATGTCCCAACAGAACACAGTTTAGATGTTTGTAATGATAAATCAGCTGTATAATTGCATTACAGGACCACATTTGGTAATTAAGGGTTAAGTCAACAATAGTTTTCTAGTTTGATACAACAGAGACACTTTAAAGTTCCCCTCCCCCGCCTTGGTATCATCTGTGTTAATACAAAAATGAAGAAACAACCCCCCAACCCTCAGTCCACATCAGGGCTTATATTGAAGATGACTTCCCTGATTTGACTTATATTGTGCGTGATCCCTGAGAAATGTACCTGCAGCTATCTTCAAGTGCTCTGCAGTATCTCCATTTTGGTTTGGTTATAAACCAAAGTTCACAGTATTGGTTTATAAACACGAGATGTGTCTTTGAAAGCTAGAAGGCAATAATATGGACCCGAAGATGCCTTCTAGCAGAGAGCACAGGTCAGGTGAATAGGCCAAATTACTTTTGTGTGCTAGCTGAGCAAGTAGTCACAGGGGGTCTATGGAGAGCCTGTAACTGGGACCCACGGAGCATGGTTCTTTTACCATAGTTGAAGAACAGGTTAAGGCTTTAAAAACAAACATGTCTAGTGTTTCAAGGCATTAATGAAGATCTATGCCATCCTGAAACCAGTCACCAGTGAGGTTCAAATGCTGACAGCCCAGTTACCCTGAGCCCTCCCATTCCCTTCCATGGGAGGTGAATGAGATCCCTCTGCAGTGAGCGGGAGCTTTTGCCTTGACCTCATGCCCCATGCAACATAGCTGGTTGATGCTTAGACTTGTGCTCCTGGAACAGCTGTAACACTTGCCATAAAGCCCTTTAATAGCACTTCGTTAAGCCTCAGCTTTGTGCCCTCAGCTTTGTGCTTGTTGGGAAAGCCTTGATCTGGAGGCTTCACAAGTTTCTGTGTCTTTGAATCAGTAAAGTCAAGCTAGCAATATCCTTGATATCAGGGTACAAAGCCATGACGTGGTTCACTTCACCGTAAGGGAAAAGGGAGCACAGCTCCCTGTGTGTGTTTGCTTGCTGGGCAGAAGGTGGCCTTGCAGCTGGGGTGGGCCAGCAGTCACCGTAAGAGGCATCAGGGTAAGCATGGGCTTTCTGGAAGAAGCCCAGCCCGTTGCTGGAGTCTAACAGAAAGGGCTGCTGTGGGGGCCGGCTGGGGAAACAGTGCTGCTGCTGCTGCAACTGATGCTCGCTGTACAAGTGAAGCCTGTCAGGGGCAAGAGCTGCGGACTGCGGCAAAACATGGTGCTGAGTCCCCAGGACCTGTTTGTGCTGCGCACCATCAGGGACGTAGCAGGTCCTGTGACCCATCCCCTGCATGCCGCAGCACTCCTGAGGCCAGCTGTGGTCTGGGCGCATCCTGGGGAGCACCGTTTGCTGGAAAGGGCGTCCTGGTAGGCAGGTGCGGTCCAAGCTATGGGATGGTGGGTAAGGGTAGTGCCTGAGGTCACCGCACTGATGAGGGCTGTCTGTCACCTCTCTGTCCTGAGAGGTACGTATGAACCGATTGTAACCGTACGTGTCATCACTGATGGACAGCGCTGACATCTTCTCCAGGAGCGGCTGGTCTCGCAGAGGCACTGGCTGTAGCAACTGCTGGCCCAGCCCCAGATCGATGCTGGGGCCGCCAGCCCAGGCGCTGGATGGCTGCTCACGACAGCTCCCCCGGGACCACCCTGGGTAGCAGGAAGCTCCCCCGCAGCCACTGGCTTCTCGCAGCGTTTCTGTGCCGGCGTCAGGCGGTGCAGGCTCTCCTCCGGTCCTGTACGGTGAGAGGTTATGCTGCTCCTCCTCTTTCCCCAGGCTTAACGGGACCTTTATTTTGGCCCTGAGCTCATCAGCAACCGAGAGCTGAGCTTGATGTGGTCTCTCTGGGTGGTAAAATTTGCATTTATTGCCATAGGTGCATTTTTTACCTGAAAGAATAAAAAAAAACAAACGAGGTTGTCGCTAGCCCCCGTGTTGATTAACTCATCGCTTCTCCCCACCAGCACCGTGCGCTTGCATGGGTGGGGTGAAGACAAACAGCGAAGAGGGGCAGTGCTGTTTTCCAGTTCAGTACTTTTGACCCCAGATTTAAATATTGCTGATCTAAATAGCAGGGTGAAGCAGCAGGGAAAGGAAGCTTCTGCTATTTCGGAAGTGTCTGAAATTCAGTTACGTTCCGGTTGCTGCACTCGGTGGACTGGGAGACCGGCTACTACACAAGGTTGCTTTAAAAAATGGAACAGAGATTTACCTCTGAGAAACCTCCACATTACTGGAAAGCTGTTGTGGGGGGAAGAGCATTTGGATGCGTTTTCCTGAGTGCTGTAATGGAAGTCCACCCTGCAACGTGAAAAGTGTGTGCAGGCAGGGGCGTCAGCACAGCCACGGTGCTTGGTTTGGGTGCTGCGCGCGGGCCAGGGTGGGGGAGCCAGAACCAGCTGCTGCCTTTGCTGAGGCTGAAGCCACTTAAGCAGGAGGGGAAAAAAGCATCACCCTGGCCAAAAACCCTACCACACAAGCGCCAGGTAGGACAGCATGAGGCAATGGCACTGGCCCGTAGCTGAAGGAAAGCGCCGCCGGGAAGCAAGGGGTGGGAGGAAGAGGGGAGGCAGTTCACAGCACGGAGAGGAACCCACCATAGGGGCAAGGCTGCCATTTTTGTTCACGAAGCACTGGCTTTTTGCTGAGGAAGTTATTAAGAGTGGGTCCGTGCCGGCCTAACGGATCATCAGGAGGCATAAACCTGAAAAAGGAAAAAGTCACAGCAGTTACAAAACTACCTCGAGCTTTCGGAGCTGAAGTGCCGTCACAGCTTGTGGCACAAGTTTAGGGCAGAAAATCCTAGTGATCCTTTTGTAGCCTGGCCTTCGTGAGCCAGGCTGCACTACTAGACACGGTGCCTTCCTGCCTGCCAAGCCAATAATTCAGCTTCATGTAGTTGTTTTTTCCTAATAACTTAAAACAACTGGGAATACACGGCAGCTTGGCGTAGCTCTGGCCGGGCGGCAGCCCCCGCCGTTACAGCGTTGCTTCCTTTTTCGCAGCAGCAGCAGCAGCAGCAGCAGCAAACTCTTCTGTGGTCCCAGCACTGCGATCCTCACCGGCAGCCCCCTTCCACAGCAAACTCACTTTTCTCTTACTAAATACTTGTAGGAGAATGAGGTTTAAAAAGCCAGCAGTTAATTCAGAGCTACAGCTGATCGTGCACGTGGTGTGATAAACGAGGCCAGCCTTTCTCAAGGATTCAGTAAAGGCTTCCTGCTACAAGGCCTGCAAGAATGCTCAGATAAAACTGTTTATTCTTCTATGCCAGTACCTGAACGTGATGCTTCAGGAAGAAAACTAATTAGCATCTCTGGGCTTGTTTGCAAATGAATCTGCACTGCATCCACCCATGGAACAACTCTCTGTGGGACGAAGGGAGTCGCGGGCGGGAACGGAAGGGAAATTTGTTCATCTGCACCCACCCGTGCACCACCAGCAATTTGTTCATCTGCATAATGGGACTGAAACCTCCAACTCCAGGCTGTGGTTTTTGAGAGGTTCCCAAAGCTGTACAAGAAGGTCCCGCTGAAACTATTCAAACGAGCTTCAGAGTAGCAGCTAGACTTTCTGAGGGAAGGGTTCTGAAAATATCTGGAAATCCCTACAAAATAGGAAGGAAAATACCATATAAATATTTGTAGCCCATTAGTAACTAGGGAAGAAGCCTGGTGGTAGTTGGAGATAATGGACTGGAGCTTCGAGAAATACAGCATGCTGATGTTCAGCGACTGCATCTCTGTGAACAACGTTACAGGGAAACTGAAACCCGGTGCCGAGCACTCCCACCCGATTTTGGTGGTGGGAGAGCCAAGTCTCCATCCTGACCCACGGAGAGTGCTGCTGTGTGAGGCGGCTTCTCCGCTCGCGCTCGTCCGTGCACACTGGATGTCTCCACGTGCATTTCCCCAGCCAAACTGACTGCTGACGAACGCCTCTGCTAGTAGGAAACTCAGACAAGGCTGGTACGTACAGACTGAGGAGCATACAGCTCAGCCTCGCAGGCACGGGGCAAACGCCTTAATGAAAACCTTCCCCAACAGGGATGGCTAACGGGGCAGAGAGACCAGCTTCTCGTCTCTCTTCTAGAATGTTATGATTAGAAAAGCACAGGAAAAAGGGCTGTTCTGCTTTGTAGGGGAATTAAAAATACTGCCAGGTAGCCAGTCTCCTCTCACTGATTTAATTCTGTTATCCTGCTACGAAACAGAAATGAAAAGATACCAGGCCTTGGGTTAACATCCCAGTTTGGGTTGGAAAGAAGCAAAGCTGGTCACTAATGTTGCCTTTCAAATAGAGAAGTCCATTGAACAGTGACATGGGGGGTTTAAGACCAAAGCTGAGGGAGCAGGAACTAAAGACATGAGATAAGAAATGTTGTGGTAAATTCCCTTCAGAAAAAGGCTCACGTACTCTGCTACTGGTGGGAGGTGCATTGATGTTGGAGCTGACTTGGCCCACAATGTTTAAAGATTGCTTAACAACATCTGTCTCTTACCTGTTACTGACAAAAGAGTACATGAGTAGTCGCTGCTCGATAAACCATTTCCACTCAGGGTTTTCATTCTGGAGATCCCGGTAATGGTCATTGGAAACAATGACTCCGTCTTTCTCATAAGCAACTTTCACTATATAGCGATCATCGTAGCAAACGACCCTCTTGCCTTTCACCTTCCGGGATGGGGTGTACACAAGGATCGATTGCTTTTCAAGCTCTTCAAGAATGTGCTGATCTGATGGTGTGGTTGGCAGAAATAGAAGGAGAAAAAATAAAAATCAAAAAAATAATCAATTAATAATGACCCGGTCTCAATCACGTGCTAGAAACCTACAGGAATCTAAGGATGTTCCAGCACTTTAGGCAACCTAAAGCGGTGTGATTTTCAGATGCACTGATATCTGGTGGTTATTTGGCAACTTGAAAATTAGGTCTTTTACAAAATCATCTAATCTTAAAATTTGAAATACCTTTTTTAAGTCTTATCCATAGAAGGATAGCTTGAATTCTACACCAGAGATACGCTGAACTCCTGTAGTTCCCTTTTTACCCCACTAGATGCTAGACGGCTCATAGCCAGCCCTGGTATGAGTGTTACTGGGAGATAAAATGTGCCTGATAAAATAAATAAATAAACAAACTTCCTTCGCTGCCACTGAGGACACACTGGCTTTTTGTCATTCCTG